TCTAGCAGAATCCAATCTTTTTTATTCATTGTGATGTCGTCGATAGTGATGAAACATCCCCACTGATTCCCCACCTTCTTAAAGAGTTCATAGCACCATGTGTACAAACCTCTCCAACTTTAACCGTACAAATTTGTCGAAACAAACCAATTCTGGACTCCATGGTTTGGTTTAAAAAAAAAAAATCGCTTAGCCATGTATTTCCATCCTTCAACATGCCAAGCATTTCTTTTCTGCACTCAAAGGTTAATAGGACCATACTTCCCCCCATAACTGTTATTGAGAAGTGTAGAACTCCCCGACTTAAGATATGTCGTTGAAGCATGTAGACTGCTTGCGGATTCTTCACTTCTGCAACAGCACATCTATCCTGCCAATCCATTTCAAGCTCTTCATCTTTTAATGTAATGGAGTCTGAGTGTTTGGAACTTCCAAGTGTGGCCCCTCAATATTGTCTGGTATCTTTATTTCTTCATCTGCAAACTCCTCCTTGTTTTGAATCATAGGCTTTCTTTTCACCATTTCAGCATAAGATGTTTTTTCAGTCCACTTAGAGAATCGCAGCAATCCTGGGATTTTAGCACCCCTTCTATCCTGTGTAAGCTGACTTGGTTGATGTTTGAACTCTCTGCTATATTTGGCAAGACTAACCCTAAATCTCTTTCTATTCCAGGTGAAACCGTCCAATGCTCTAGATACTGAAAGAGCGTCCTCGAGATCCTTGAACCTGAAAAACCAAACTTACTTCATCTTAACTTTCATTGATTAGAGGAATATGGAAGTCTAATAATCGGCCGTATTGCATTATCAGATTCCATAAGTCATGTTCGTTTCTTTCGCATGAATGTTGCCAATAAACACAGTTATCAGCTTCCTCTTCCACTGCTCATTCTTTGACAAGCTGGATCTGCGATTCCTTATTATTCTGTGATGATGATCCCTGACGTTCCAGGACCACTTTCTCTCTCTAACTCTTACGCTCTCTCTCTCTCTCTCTCTCTCTCTAGCTTTGACAAATAGGGAGTTTAATCAACAATTCAATCTTTGTTGAATGGATTCCAAACAATGTGAAGTCCACTGTTTGCGACATCCCTACTAACGGCCTGAAGATAGCATCCACATTTATTGGGAACTCTACTTCAATCCAAGAGATGTTCGGGAGGGTCCGTGGGCAATTCATTGCTATGTTTCGCAGGAAGGCTTTCTTACATTGGTACATCAGAGAGGGGATGGAAGAGATGGAGTTCACAAAAGTTGAGAGCAACATGAATGATTTGGTCTCAAAGTACCAACAATACCGGGATGCAACTGCAGATGACGAGTAGTATGAGGAAGACAAGGAATACGAGGAAGAGGCTTGAAACTGATGGAATATGCTTGACTCATTGTTCTGTAGACTGTAGGATATTTGAATGCTTTTGTTGTGCTTTGAATATTTTTGTGCATGTGCCGTCCGTTGAAGCAATCTCGCATTGCGTGTTTCTGGAGTTTGGATCACTGTATTGTTAATTTTCTCTGGACTTTTTACTGTCTCCACAATTACATACCACTTGCATTACTGCTTTCTTTTTATTAGTAATTTCAACAGTATGTTTCTATGGCAAATAATTTTAAATCAGAATTATTTGATGTCATTAGTCTATTTCAAAAATCATATTAATTCCAATAAGTAAAAGAAAAAAAAAAAGCTTCAGCCACATAAATCTGCACCTAAGTAACCTGACCCTTGCCACCACACCCAAAGGTCAAAGAAGTACAAAGCAAAAGGTAAATGTAGGGAGAGAGCAAGCAGGGCTGAATTAAGCTCCAAATTTGGGAACTTTAGCAGCAGACATTTGAGACAAGAAATGCTCTGCTACAATCCTCCGTTCGATTTTGCCAGTCGCGCTTTTTGGTAAGGAATTAGTGATGAAAACCTTCTTGGGGACCTTGAAAATTGCAAGATCATTCTTGCAATATTGCAAAATTTCTGCCTTATCCAGCCTTACTCCTTCCTTGGGAATCATTGCGCAACTATCTATGTTTGAAAGAAAAAAAAAAAGGCGGTCTGATCGATTAGTTGTTGAAATTGAGCATGCGTTAAATTAATTTACCAGAAACTGATAGAGCTCTTAAAAAAAAAAGAGTGAATTGTTGAAGAAGAAGAAGGAAAAAATAAACAAAACAAAATTATTTGGAAATAACAGAAAAAATCATGGTTTGGACAAAAAAATAAAATAAATTATAAGATAATTAAATATTATATTTTAAACCCCAAAGATCACTTTAAATCCATCTCTAAGTACGAGATAATTTAATAAAATTTCCTTAATTTTAATAAGTGATGTGAGAAATTACATGAAGAAAAGTGATGAAGAAGCATTAAATGAATGAAATGTAATGTAAGTTGACGTCACATAACAGTTTTATAAAACTCTTTCTCGTCATCTTTATATTAATCAATTTCATTATCATCATCGTTTATAATTTTATTGTTATATGATATCTGTCCTTGTCAAATTGGACTAGCTAACTAAAATAGGTAACTTTACATAAGATTTATGTGGGGCATATGTGGTTACCATACAAAACAAGTGAAATGACGATGTAAAGGTGAAAAATTAGAGAAAAATTGGCAACATAATTGTGTTTACTTGAATTGTGTATTTGTGATGTGTAATTAAAAGGTCAAGGGAACTTAAAAAAAGACCAAGGAGCAGGAGTGATGATCAGATGAATATCTAAGGTTAAGAAGAGAATGATCATGACCAATGAATTAAGATGAAAAATGTCCCAAAATAATTTTATATATATGATCTCAAGTTACGCCAAAGGAGAATGGTGGGGTTAAATTTAATCACTTGTATTGTATCAGTGAAGGATAATGTTGTCAAAATAAATGATTTATTCCAAAATTAGGTAAAGCTGATATCACTTCCCAAAAGTTTTACTGGAAACAAACAAAACCTAAATATAAACAGTTGCCGAAAAAAATTAATTGTGGGACCAAGTATTTTGAATAGATCTAATAATTTTAAATATGATAAAAAAATAAAAGTGTACACGGTTTAATTTTAATAAAAATCATATTTATGTTTGATAAAAATTAAAAAATGCATTTTATGATTGATATATTGACATAAATTATAATATAATAATTTTTATATTTTATATATAATGGATACGAATTAGAAAGCTATGAATACAATAAGGACGAATTGTTTGCTTCATTTGATCTGGTAAGGAGATTGAGAAAAAAATTTCATTTTGAGGTGCTTGATATTTATATGATTATCCATGATCAGATGTTGGATATATTTTTGTTAATTTTTTTGTTATGTGTTGAAGTAGAAATGAGCGTATAATGCCCAAATATTAATTAGCACAATACTCTTTAAACTGACAGTTTCTGGTGCAGCAAAAGGTCACGAAATTTGTTGGCATATGATGAGATGTAAAAATAAAAAATTTAAAATATTTTGAAAGACATTTCCTTGGATTTCACACCTGCCATATAAAGGATCCTCTTTCTCTTGAAAAATGTGTATAAATAGTGTTTCTCATTCTCATTCCCATCACAACATCAATTCACAAAGCAAACTCTCTAAGTCTTTATAGGCATCCATAGCAGTAGTTATAGTTGTAAGTTTCTCGATCTTATAGTCTATTCTTTAATTTCTTGGCTCCTTCTCCGTAAGATATCAGATATATCAAATCTAAAAGTTGATCTTCATTTCTCCATGGCCCATAGTGGAATCTGCATAATGCATTTCAATGGGAGAATTGGAGATAAAAAAAAACAAACTGGGGAAATGGAAAATAGTACATGATTTTATTTATAATTGCTGAAAAGCCATTTATTTTATATATTTCTCTATTGCTTATCTTGATTAATTCATTGCATTATGCCATTAACTCATTTTTTTGCATACTTCCCACGATTTTCATGTCTTGAGGTTTTTTTCTTTCTTTCTTTCTTTTTAAATATTTGCTTTACTTTTATTTTTGTGTTACTTTAAAATCCTGTTATATATAGTTTCATTGAAATTGATATAAGATTTTATTTTCAGTAATGCTTTCCTTGATTTTCACGTTTATGTTTATTGATCATATCGTTTTCACTCTTTTTATACACACACACACATATATATATATATATCGGTTTTTTTTTTAAACAGACAATACATACCCTTACCATTGAGCATTTTGCTGAAGTGTCACCTACTCCAACTAGTGGTAATAAAAAAAAATTAAACTCATTTTTGTCTTTCTTTTAAATAAATATTATTAAGATTATTATCTTACATATGAACAATAAAATTTTTAAATTCTATACATAGATTTATGTAATTAAAAATATGTCTATTAAATAATGATGTTAATTTATTTTTTTAATTATAATCGACTCTGGCTTGCAAAGTTTAAATAGACTCTTCAGTGATGTATAGCACAATTTACCATACTGTAATTCACGTTTTACATGCACTGTCGAGCTGTGATCTAGGATTCATCCATGGAATCCTTAAGACATTTTTTTTTTTTTTGAAATGGGAGCCATTAATCTTGATGATGATCATAAGATCGATTTTGGATTACAAAATATCATGAATAACCGAGATCTGTTATACTTTCAAACCACCGCTTTTTTACTGTCAATTTTTATGTTCTTTTGTTGCCAAATAGTATCACATAGAAAGTGTGTCCATTTGTTGCATGTGTGTCAGTCATCCAGGTCATCCATTCACTGCTTCCGTTTCATATTTACATTCCATTGCATGTCTAATTCTTCATAATTTTTCTCTCTCTCTCTTTTTATTATATGACTTAATTCTGTAAAATAAAAACAAAAACTAAATATAAAGAATCACATCCATCTTTTGCTTTCCACCAGGACTTTTTGTCACTATTACAAATTTTTTCTGACAATCTCTTTTCTCATAATTTATTTTGCATAGTCATAGGTTTCAGGGCTATCTCTTCATCAGAAAAACCCCCCTCAAATCCTCCAGAAATTAAGATCCATGGATAATTCTCAGTGGTTCAATCAAGTAGCTGCTCGAATGAATAACCACAACAATGTAGGCGATAGGGTTGATCTGACTCTCAAGTTGGGATTGCCTAATAGTGATCAAAATCCAGTACCCTACCAGCTGAGGCCGCATGTTAGTCCTGCTTCCATGGCCCCCGGTCATCTTGCCAACCTTAGCTTTGCTGGCCCCAACACTCAGGTTGTCTAACATTTTCCTCTCTCAAAGTCTTGAGATTGATTAATATATGTATATATAATGTTAAAATTGGTTTTGCTATGGTTTTTTAATTTTTTCAATTTCATGACGATGATATATGGTTAGGAGATTTTTCTAATACAAATTAGTTTAATGTTTTAAAATAGAGTATGCATACAAGTAATAATTAACAAAAAAAAAAAAAAACAGTCTGAATTTTTTTTATTTGTTCTAGTAATTGATTAGCATTTTCTATAAAAATAGAGGATATGTTGACATTATTTTATCTAATTCAATGGATTTTTTTTTCTATAGGACTAATTCATTGGAAATTGAATTGGAGTGTATCTGTTTAGAAAGAAGTTACTAATAATCACCTTAAATCAAATATTACAACTGAATTTTAATTTATTTTTTTCTAAAATTTTTAAGAAATAATGATTTTTCCCAAAATGCATAGAATCAATTTCTCACTTCATGATCGTTTCGACAAAATTTCAATTCAGGTTTTAGTGTTTTAGGTTTGAAAAAGATATATCTTTGTCTCTCTTTTTTTTTTTTTTTTCAAACTTAGATTTTGGCTTAATGAAAAATAAATAAAAATGAAATGTACTAACACCTTGTATAAAATATTTCTTGATTTTGATTTCTATCATTTCAACATATAGTGAACTCTCTAGTTTTAGTTTTAATCCTTCAAATATGGAATTATAGTAAAAAAAAATTCATATTTGTTGTTTTATGTCAATTTTTATAAAAAAGGAAATACCAACGAAGTTTGACCGATAAATTTTTAATTAGTTCCCTTCAATGGTTAGAGAAGCAACGAGAATTACGTTTGTTATAACTTTACTATTGTCATCTTGTTAATGATGACGACCGTTATAATAATAATAATAATAACAACAATAATTTTGTTGTCACTTTTAATTTTCGACTTCAGAAAAGCACATTTCTTTATTAAATAAAAAAAATTGTAACACAAAATAAATTTACCTAAGTTTTTCATTAAAAATACATCATGTATGTTGTGAACATTTATCAATTATTGGCATGGGACACTAAAACTGTTGATAAATAATCTTAGTTTGCATGAATGAATAGAATGCATGTATTGCAAACAAATACACTTGGGCACTGCCTAATTAAAATACTGCAATATTGACACAAAACAATTAAGATCAACAGTATTACTAAACTCTTCTTTATGTAGTAGTTTGAACCTTCTATTTAGTTAAGTATTTGTCATTCTATATTCAATCTTTTACATGATTTGTATGATTCAGCAGGGAATGAATCAAATGGGAATGTTTAATCAAGGAGCAATGGTTCAAGGTCAACAAAGCTTTAATGGAAGCCAATATGCATGGCCAACCGATCAAATAGTCAGCAATGTCCATAACATGAACTATGCAAATGCTTTTAACCAATGTTGTAGTCCTTCTCTTGGATTTCCTTCTTATAACAGTACCAACTCCTACAACAACTTTGGTCCTACTCATCCTCCTCCTCCTCCTCATCATCATCAGCTACCAGCTCCGAGCCTGGTGCCTTCGAACATCTACACACTTATTGACGTCCCTCCTAGGAGAGCCGCCAATCAACATCAACTAGAGCTCGGAAGCTCCTCTGGCTCGAGTTCAGGTAAGCAACGCCAACGACGTCAGCGTGGTGGCAACTACAATGACCCTAACAAACGATGCACTAACTACAACTGCAACACCAACGATACTCCTATGTGGCGCAAAGGTCCCCTAGGCCCCAAGGTATAATATATACTTTCCTTTACAATATCAAGTCTCTAATTTTATGTTTATCCTTTCTTCTTTCTCGTTATTTGGCATTAGATAACGCTTCCGTTATAAAGCAAAACCTACAATGAAAAAAGTGTAAAAAAAAAAAAGTTTCCATTTGTTATAAATATTTCTTCATTTTTTTTTTGAAAATTTAAGAAAAATATTATTAATGGAAAGATTTACAAAACTATAACCAAGCCACTAAATCACAATATCTGTTGACTCCCATCTTAACGGGATAGTCAGCGAAGTGATTAGTTTCCCTAAAAACATGAATATTTCTTCGATCATATGTTAGGGTTTTTAATAACATGTCAACTTTAGTAAAAAAATTGGTGTAGCCATGTAAAAAACTTTGATTACTATAAATGTACTAGTCTTCAATGGAGGTTTTGTTTAATTTGATTGAGGTTTATCGATCAATCCATCTATTCAGAATCCTCAAAAGGAGTACGGTGAAACTATGAATTACTTGCCAACTAATTTTTTTAGTACTATTCATTTATTTTTTTGTTCTTAAATATTAATTGCAGACATTGTGTAATGCTTGTGGCATTAAGTATAGAAAAGAAGAGGAGAAACGAAGAGCAAAAGAAGCTGGAAGCAGTGGCCAACAGTCGAACCCCAATGGATGACACAAGGAAATTAACATCTCCTTAATTTTTTGCAATTTCTTTTGTTTAGTTTTTGCTCTTTCTTTTGTGTTTTCTTGAGAAATCAATATGCCATGACCTAAAATTTTGTTGCATTTAAGGGGACATTACAAATTAGTGCAGTGGAATGAAAATAATGATTTGTTGTTGCCGTGGCAAAAAAGTACTTATTCAGAAGGAAATGTCAAGTTTTAAAATTACTGAAAAGAAATTGCATTTACCTCGTGGACTTTAATAACTGATGGATGTAAAGAATTATATGACTATTTCATGCGCATGAGAGCTCAAACATTTGTAAATATGGGTTTAGGAATTTAATTTGTGGTTGCATTCGTGTTTTTAGTTGTGTTGTATTTATTGTAATTATGAATATAATGGAGATTATCATAGTTATCATGATAATAAAACTTGTTACAAAATGTAAAAATTATAATTATAATCATAAAAATTTTTCCTTTATGCTTTTTAAAGTAGTTTATGGCATCCCATATCTTTTATTTATTTGAAAAAAGTAATTAATCACAATTTTTGTGAGATTATAATTAAGTATTTATATTTAGAAAATTATTCATGATAATTAGGAAATAACAAATATGGAAATAAACAATAATATCGATAGGAAAAAATGATAATAAAATTATAAAATCTAAATATAAAATCATTGATTAACAATTAAATATAATGATATTATAAAATAAATAAAAAGGAAAAAAAAATCTAGATAAAGTCTTTGGATTTAAACCTAAAGCAAGCCAATCAACATGGTCCATATCTAGCAGCCAATCACCCTAAATTCTAAACGAATCATGGGTCAAGTACATGGATCAAGTTAATAATTGTCCATTTCCCTTTTTTTTCTCTTTCCTTTTTTTCCTTCTTCTTTCTTTTCTCAAACTCACTATTTAGCCCTAATATCAGCTCTTTTTTTCTTTTGAAACCCTACCTCCTTTATTCTCTCATTTTTTTCTTCTCTCTTTACCAGCAGCAACCCTATTTCTTTCCAAATTCGAGCCTTCTCAAGCTTTTTGCCTCCAGCCACCAATCATTATTCCTCCCTATTTTCATCTCTCATTCCTCATGTTACGGTTATGATCTTCCAAAATGAACCAAAAAAAAAAAAAAACTTAAAACCTGAAATCCTAAAAGCCATCTAGCACTATCACCATTCATCACTGTTTCGATCTTTCTTTCTTTTCTTTCCTTTTTTCGTTTTTTTCCTTCAAAAATCAAGAAGCAACCGCTAGCGGCCATGAAAAATAGTCCTATCCCTACCCTTAGAAAAGGTAATTTTAACTTGCTCTTATGTTTACATTACATGTTCTTTAGTTCTTGATGTTGAATGAGTTTGGTTGATGTTAAATTTGGGTGAGTTGAATATCACATAGGGTTGGCACTTGTTTTATGTCTTTTGGTTTCTTAGACAAATAGAACCCAAAATTTTGGTCAAATGAATTTTTTTCTTTTAAGTATCAAAATTATCGATGGAAAAAGTTGAATAACGATAATAGGGAATCGTTATTTTTACTATTCACTGTTATGGCATTTTTCGCAATCTCGATGTGCCGTTTCGGAGCCCGTGACATTTGGAGGTGCTTTTATGAATAAAGTTGGCCGATGGCAATGCAATAATGAAATATCTGCTGTTAAACTACCACTTCACCTCTATTTAAATCCCTACATATGCCTAAAAGTGTAAGTACATTGTGCTTCATAGATATCTACGTTTCGAAAATGTGTCAAAATGTGACTTCTACACACTTATATTAATGTCTAAAAGAAGTCAAAAGTGAATTATAAGATTTTCATATATAAAAAGGATTAATATTATAGATGATCCTTAAATTATAATGAAATATTTAATATAATATTTAAATTTTAAAAATATTTAATATGATATATAAATTATTAATTTATTAATTAATGTGATATTTGTTATTAACGTAATTAATTTTAAATGATGACATGTGATAAATAAATAATTTATCAAGTATTATATTGATTAATAAATTTATAGTTCAAATATCACATTAAAAATATTTAACATTTATATATCATATATAACATTTTATTATAATTTAAGGACCATTTATGACATTAATACTAAAAAACTTTAACCTAATATAAAAGAATAAATAATAGATTTTCCTAATAAGTATATTGGCTTTTTCTTTAAACAAAATCAAATTTATGTACATATAATTATAATAATATATACATAGCAGCTAGACTTACGAACATATAATTATAACTATAACCAAGTATAGGTTATGTCTTCTAAAATATAAGGTTCCCATCAATATATAAAATCATAAATAAAAAGATAGATAACAAATTTTCTTCATCAAGTACCTTAGATTGTTTTTATTAACATAAGCCCGAAAAAAGAAATTCATTATTTCTATTTGTTTATGATTTTTATATATTGATGAGAATAATATATTTTAAAAAAACAAACCGTTACTTGGTTATAATTACATGTACATAATAAATCTATGATAAACGAAAAAATTAAGTGATGAGAAGTTAAGTATCAAATTTTTAATATTAAATTTGACAAGTATTGAATCTGAATTACAAAAATTGTTTGATATAAAAATTATTTGATATTTTATTGAAAAACAAACGTTGAATATAAATATATTGTACGACAACTGTAAAATATTAAATTTTAAAAATTTATCATTTTATCTCTATTTTCTTTGCAAATAATGAAGTAGGGTTTTTAGGGGATAATAAATCAAAAACTTAAAAGAAAAATTTTTTGAATATTTTGTGCATTAAGTGATAACAAGGTCTATACCTACTTATCTTATTCAACACTTTTTTACTAAGAAATTCTTTTAAGTGGATTTTAAAATATGTTATCAAACGCATTGAAAAAATTAAAGTATGAAAAATTTTTATTTTTAATGCAATAAAAATTTTCGATGATTTTTCAAATAAGGCCTTGGTTTTGTTCTAGACCAAATCTAAGGTACTTGGTTAAGAAATTTTTTTATTAATTTTTTTATTGGATTTAAGCTTTATTGACAAAAATCTTATCTTTCAATCATGACTTTCCTTGGATATTAATGTGGTTTTAAGTAATAAAAATCACATTTTGATATATTTTTAAAACGCACATAAGCACAAAGCACAATGTACTTACTCTTTTAGTCAAATATTTACATTAAATATCAAGTCAAAAAAATTGTGATCATATATGTTTTTACACCCATTAGTATATAGGGTAAAAAAAAAGTAAAATGGAATTTCCTCTATAATAATTTTAATACTTTGATATTTCTTTCCTAATAAATATTTTTTCTCTGTAATTCATAATTGTTTTGGTTCCACAATAGCAATATGTAATTCCCCTTCATTATTAAATTTGTTTACTTTAAGAATATCTAGAATGCATTTTTTTAGCGAATTCCATTAAAGAAGAAATAAAAGTTGTTAGTAAGCCATAGAATAAAATAAAGAAATAAAAAAAAAAGAATATTAAAGATGAAAGAAAATAAAAAGTTAAAAAAATAAAACTCTCTAAGGGGTCATTTGGTATTGTTATGTGCTTTATATTTTATATTTTTAAAAATTTTGTTCTATTTTACTTTCCTTTTTTTTTCAATTTATTGAATTTAAAAACATGTTTGGATGGAATAATTTTGCTATAGAAATATGAAAATAGAAACATGTAAGAGAAAGTGATTAAAGTTTTGACATCTTCAAGGGAAAATGTTCAATTCTAGCCAAAAGCAAAATTGCTAATTATGGCAGTACTGTAGTTGAATAGTTGAACAATGCTCGTTGGTAACAGTGCCAAATTGTTTCCAAAACTTTGAAAACACTATTTATTTTTTGTTTTCAATAATTTCTAAAATTTTGTTTTAAGTATTCAAAAATAGAAAACAAAAGCAACCTAGCAAACATATTTTATATCTAATTTTCAAAAAAACTTAAAACAAAATTAGAAATTAGAAATGTTACTAAACGACCTGTAAATTAACTTAGCATTAGCAACATCATTAGTTCCACAAGGATTCCTATTTGTTTCATTTGTAGTAGGTTTCTAAATGACATTTTTCTTGTCCTAAGTCTTTAAAAACAAGGTTGAACCAGGTTCATAATGCAAGACAAAGTTCTTAATCCAATCCCACTAATTTTATTCGTACAAAGACTCAAACTAATGAAAAGGAATCTACCAACCAACCCAATTCATCAAACCAAAAAAGGCTCAAATCCAATATTTGATAAGGTCCATTCTTAAAATGCCAACTTTACATTAGGAGGAATATTTGATCAAAGTTTTAGCCCATACTTTTGATTATTAGGGCATAAATGGCTATTAGAATTAAGGTCCAACAATAATATTGATTCTAACATCCTATATAAACCATATGAGCATTTAGAATTTATGTTCTTAATAATTTCTAACATAATTTTATTTGCTTTTGTGTTTGAATACGTATATGTGAACTTCTTATGCATATTACACTTGAATACATGCATTCAATATACTCTTAATATTATTTGTATCATGCATTTTGTCTCATACTTTGAATTGATCTCTTTTTCTTTTGCAATGATAAAAAAAGAGAGAGTTTATAGATATTTCTTCTTGTATGTTTATAGCAATTGGTGTAGGAGCTTTAACATTTGGTATAAAGCGGATAAACAAAAAGAGAGAAATATTTCATGAATATATTTACTAATATATTCTTTTTGTGTTTATTTTCTCATGCCTTTTTACTATGACAAAAAAGAGGAAAAATATCATGTGGACAAATTTGCTTGTGCTTGATATACATATGTTCTTATGTGTGTTTAATTGTATTATATGCTTTGATATATGTATGCATATGTTTATGTTTAATTGTTATATCTACTTTAACATATGTTTGTTAAATTGTGTTAGATTAGATTGATGCATTAATTGAGGAAGAGAACTTATTAAGATTTGCTATGCATTGTTTAAAAAGGAGTTTTTGCAAAATGATTTT